GACGAAGGTGAAGGTGCCGGCAGCCATAGCCGAGGTGAGGAGTTGACCGGGCGTTGACCAGACCGTTGACCAGAGGGTTGACCAAGGGTTGACCAAGGGTTGACCAGAGGGTTGACCGGACGTTGACCAAGGTGGTTGACCAAGCGTTGACTGGGGGTTGTCCGCGTTGACTCAGCGTTGACCAAGGTGTTGACTGGAGCTGCTGACCAAGATTTTGACCAAGCTGGAGTTGGTGATATCTCGCTGAGCCCTTAGCCTATCCCCTTACCCTGTGGATGTGCACTCACCCTACGGTACTTGCTGAGTTTGAGTCTGTCTGTCTTTCCTTTCTGCATTGAGTCTCTTCTGTCCTAGGTGTTAGGACTCTGTGGATGAAGGATAGGGCCTTGCTGCCAAACCTGCACGGGCTTAGTAGGACCTAAGCTCTACTCTGACACTTGGAGACCTGGGCATGAGCGGCGAGCACTCGTTAAACAACTCGTCTAGCCCAATGACCGGTACTGTCCGGCAGGTCTACTGAGTTCAGTGTAGAGGGTCTGAACTCCGAGCTGTAGGCTGAAACGAAGGCCGTCTTTAAGTGTTTAGGCCTGGTTGAGCCACTCCCCTACCGGACCTACTACAGCTGATGATCTGTGTCTGACGACTCGACTGTCCCGAGGGATACGAACCCCTCCAAGGACCGGTACAGACCGGCGGGCTGCTCGGTGTGGCATAGTAGGCTGGAACGACTGAGTTGTGGGCTGAAATCGCCAGGAAGAACCAAGCTGATCACGTCGTCCTGTCTGCGACGTTAAAGAATTCTTGAGGAGTTACGGGGGATCTCCTTAAATGCCTCCAGATCAGCTTTTGGTTCAGTAGTGACAGCCTTAGAATAGTCTTGGGTTAGTGACCATAGTTGACAGGGTCTTACCTTGTGGTCCTTAGGAAGTCGGTCAATAGGTTTGTGTCCGGGTAGGTCCAAGTGGTGAGGAGTGGGACCTTTGTCGTGCACCTGACACCACCATGGTAGACACCCGGCGCGACACCTCCACTATGCCGTACACAAAGGAGGAGGAGGCGAAGATGGCCGCCATCCTGCAGGAGAGGAAGGAGAAGAAGGAGGCCAAGAAGAAGGCCCTGCAGGAGGAGCAGGCGGCAAAGTTGAGAAAGATAGAGGAGGAGATGGCCAGGGAGAAGGAAAGATTGAAAAAGGAAGAAGAGCAGAAGCTGAAGGAGGTGGAAGAAGAAGAGGAGGAAGATGATCAGCCACTGGAGAGGAGAAGAGAACAGCGAGGGCAGCACAGTGCCAGCAAAGACGATGAAATGGAGAAGCGGATCTCAGAGTGGGTCGCCAACTTGTCCCTGGGAGAAGAAGAAGAGGTAGCTATGTATATCCCCAAGGACGAGCAGGAAGCCGCTATGAAGTAGTGGGAAGCAGAAAGGGATGTTGTGAGGCGGCATGCAATGGAGGATGAAAAAAGGATGGAGTGGAAGTTGAGAGTGATGAGGGAAAAGAAGAGGAAAGTGAACGCGGCGATTGGCGCGGTCAAGGACCTAGGGGAGATGCAGCAACTAACCCTGAAGTTGACCCCTCAGGTAGACCTTGAGAAAAAGGTAGAACTCATTGCCCAGACTGTCGAGCGCTTAGCTCGGATACAAGAACAACAGTACGATTTTAGTCGAAGTCAGGACATGGCTGTGCGCTCCATACGAATGGGGTTTCGGGACTTTGCTCGCGAATTGGTAGGCGCGATAGGATCTGAGGTGAATCATCGCCTCGAGAAGACTGAACGATTTTGCGCTGGCGCCATTGAGGGCGTCAAGGCGGCAGCTCCCAAGGAAGAGGAACCACGCCCGCCGCGTAGAGAGCCAGTCAAGGTCAAATTCCCTGATTCCTACAGTGGGAAGAGGGAAGAGAACTTTGATAACTTGGAGGCCAACGTTAAGACCTACGTGCATCTGCAACAGGTCTCCCCGGATCAGCAAGTTCTAATTGCGATCCACGCACTTAAAGATGAGGCCGCCAGTTTCGCAAGATCCCTTGTTCGCGCTGCCAACTGCAGTGACGATCCAGTTGCCTATTCGGCATTTACTTCCCTCACTGAGTTCATGAGATTGCTGCGCGAGCGATTTGCGGATGTCGCTCGAAGTGTCAAGGCCTCAGATAGGCTCCAGACAATCCACTCTTGTAAGTGGAAGAGTGCCAGGGCACTCAAGAGCACGATGGATGAATAAATCGTTGTTCCTGACCATGGGGTCACAGACACCCAATTGGTCGGCCTCTTCTACCGAGCTATCCCCGAAGCCTTGCGAGGGCACTTCTTCGCGAAGAGCGAAG